TACAACACCAAATAACGAATTTAAGATTAAAATCAACGTCGTGTATTATCAGGAACAAAACAATCCTTGGAGAAAAGATCATATAAGAAAATTTAGAACCACCAATTCGTCCCTCCATCGTGATCCATTGGTCGGGACACAACCGGGTCGAAAGGCGGGGACGATTAGAAGCGATTCAAGATGACAATCGGGCCGATCATAGAAATGTTTCAACGGAGTCCAAGTGGGGCCGATTAAAAAAAACTTTTATTCTTGGTGAAATAGGGGTATGACTTAGGGCTTTGAAGACCAGCAAGTTTTAATTTCATTTCTGCCAGAGTGATAATTTGCTGATGATATGCCACCCCCACAAGATACTTAACAAAATCTTTAACATATTGCTCATCTATCAAACACCAAGAAACCAAATCAAGTGAAATAAATTAACAAATTAGAGAAGAAGAGGCAATATCCTGGATATTCGAATAATTCAGTGACAATGAAGGTGTTTTGATAAATAACAGGGAATATTCAGTGGATTTACTCCCACAAATTTCCCGTGTATTCATTAAAATCTTGACAGGCAGAAAGTAGGTTTATTGAAAAGTTAATCAGGCGGCGAGGGTTTGATAGATCTCGTCGTAGATAAGGCATGTTATTTTCTAACGAGTCATTGCTGCAAGAGCTAATTCTATCTTCAAGTTTAAGAGATCTTGAGATATTAAAGGAGCAGCTTCAGATGGAAAAAGTAACAATATATTACCCAAGTACTAAGGATCAAAACTGTAAAATGAACCTCAGAATCCAAAACAGCAGTTTGGCAATACATTGTTAACAGCCAATAAATGTTTCATATGAAGAAGTATATCAATCATAAATGAGGAAGTATGCCATAATGAAAAGTAGGTTCAGGTGTCTTGGAGAGTAAACATCCCCTATTGTGTGTCACACTCACCACTGTTGTTCAATTTTACACAAAAATTCACACAATTTTGCTACAAATAATACTTCACTTAGAGAGGTTTTCGTCGATAGTTGATCCGATATTCGATCTCTCCAGGATCACCACTTTAAGATGCCTGATTGACACATATCTACACTCTACACTGTGTTTAATTACATAAGCTTAATTTGTTTGAAATTAGGAAACCTTTCAGATCAAATCTAATTGGGGCTTCTCCTTTAAATTGACTTATTGGAAGGCTGAACATGCCCGAGGGCAGGTTTATCTTTTACAGAATCCTTTGAAGATTAATAAGAAGAGGTGACTGCAAGTGGCTCTTATTGTGCAACTTCGTACGTGGAGAGTTTTTATGCACGTCAGTTCCACAGAAACCCTATCAAGAAATCACACTTGCCAATGTTTGAAGTAGCCTACTAGTTTTATACAGGTTTCCTTGTAGAACTTTGAAGGCTGAACAGTTTGATCAAGGCCATACGACTAGAGCTTGTTGTTGACTGGTGTTTATATTGATATAGAAGGACTTCGAGGGCACCTGTTCGTCTCTTTCTTGCCTTATGCATTTAAATTACCATTGTCAAACCTTAACGTTTCTGGCCACTGTCAACAATTTACATAATTATGTTGACTATATCCTCACGGTACTGCCGACTCTTTCATGTTGGTCGTCTGTCCATTGGATGTCGGACATGTCTAATTTTCGTCCGCTCTCTGACGAAACGTTCTTAATTACATGGTAAAAAAACCCTCAAAGCATCTCCTTCCTCGTGCAGCATTGACTTGTGCATCCAGTATGGATAGACCGAAACATGGTTTTCGTTATCAGGTTGGACAACAGATGGCGAAATATCAATTCAATCTCTTATATAAACAAATTAAAGCTCTGTCTTCTACAATAGCATTACAACGACATTACGTTTAAGTTCAAATCCAAAATAAAACCAAATCTAAATTCCGCTAGCAATTGAATATGTTGGAACAAATTGACTTAGCAGAGTGTAAATTGTGGTGTCTGGAACCAGAACCAGACATCCTTCAGGGAATCAGTCAAACATGGTGAAGAATCTTTATTAATTCTCATCAATTCCCATCAAATTAGGCCATAATTTTACCACCTCTTTCCATCAAGACTTGCTAATACTTCCATTTGATACTTCAGTATGTAGGCACAATGACATTGTAATACGATTCCAGTGGGGAGTGACTTGAACTTAGATCACAATAATAATCACGTCTCTTCCATTCGCCGAACCTATATACTGGTCTTTCTGATTAAATTTCATATTGAATTGGTCACATTATGTCTTGTGAATCTTTTGCACAATCAAGTACGGTATACCATTTGAGGTTGTCCTGCTTTCCAGGTAGCCTCATGATGCTCAATATGACATTATTGATTATTTCTCAAACCATAGTGATCACCATTTGCATATGGTTGAAAAAAGTGGTGATAAGTTTCGAATGCAACTCTCTTGCAACTTAGTTGTGAGTTGCCTTCGGAACTCATGGTCGCTTTCATTTTTCGCAACCATACGCAGCTGGAAATCGCTAGGGTGTGAGGGCACCTGAAGGTCTTGTTTTTGTGTTGAGCAACGAGTTTCTGAAGTAATACATCAGTGGCATTATAATTAAATCAGTTCGGTAATAGGTGCTGTAGAAGACATTAGTCTATAAATCATTTGGTTGAAAAACCTACTTACCTTATTGTACCAGTCAGTCAGTTCACAATAAATCACTGAAATATATACAGCTTACAGCAGCAATACAAAGATATATCAGCGATGGATAGGTTTTTAAATTAATTTAGGTTATGTAGAAGGCAGTAATTCTGGCGAGCGTCTGGGGTCCCTTTAAGCTGAGAATTACATATAAAATCAGTAATAATTCAATAAAAAAGAATTTTAATTATAATGTCGGTCATCCCTCGTGAAATGATAATGATGGGGATTTGTTGCGATAAATCTCTTCCATTTACAACCTCTTTTGACTCAGAATATCAGTTGTTATGTAAGAAATTTTCGATAAGGGATAGTTCACATCCGGCAAGGCGAATTATTTCATGTTTCTACTCTTCTGAATGCTTTGTAAAAAGGTGAGGCGGTCTAATGAGCAAATACCAATACATGGAGCTGTAAATATAATAGAATTCCATGAAATTTCTTTTATATTCGTTCCGTTCATCGGCTTACAATCTTTTCTTTCAGGGAGATCCAATAACCATATTGATCTATTGACAAACACGGTCGCGTGAGAAGAGGGTTTGGGCCAGATGAGCTCTTTCATTGAGAAACCATGTACTATTAGGAGCGGATGAAGTGTGTAACCACATAGAATAAGTTTATAATTACACCGCGATAATCGAATGAAACAAATCTCATCATTTTCATTCGATCAACCGCCGTCTTTCTATAGAACCCTACTAATGAACCCATAGTCCATTCATATGTTGAACAAAGCACAGAGTCATTGAGACGTTGATTTTCAAAGCAAAATGCTCCTCACACTTCATGTTTATATTGCATATATATCATCAACATCCCCTTGGACATATTCTCCTGAATGAGTCAAATCTCGATCCTTTTATTCAAGCCGTCACTGTCGTTCTATTCAATTTGCCAATCATTGCGCATTATGATCTGAAGAAATATAGTTTACAAGGATAGCAACTTCGGTTCCCGAGGATCCTGTCTAGCACCTGGCCACGTATTCTCGAAACGATCTTAGCGCTAGGATGTCCTAGAATCAATGTTAGAAGATGAGAATCTAGGACATCCTAACCCTAAGATCATGTCTAGAATACGGGCCTAGTCCTTAGCCAAACCTCTTGGAATTGATCTTTCCCGGATTAGCCCCATTAGAAAGGCAAACAATGGCGACACCACTAACCAAAACATCATTCCAGATGGGCAACGAAATTAGGTTTTTTGTTTTGCTACGTTTTGTTAACTCTGTATCATAAATCGTGTGAGAATATGAATAGAACCTAGCCCGATAGATCTGACCTTATCGGTTCCTCAGACGTGATATACGGATGGGATATCGGCGCGATATATCCCATACGTATATCATATCCAAGGAACGGGTGGGACCAGATTTGGCAGGCTCAATAGCACTATGCAATATGCATGCATTTTAATGGCAATTCTGAACATCAGAACTACAGTACTGAGGGAATCAGATAATCAAAGACGTGGCCCTGACTCCGATGAGGCATCAAACACGGGTGATTTGTCTTTCAATTTCTTTACGTTAAAAAAAAGTAACAGTAAAATCTTAATGAACAAATACTTCATTACCAACTGTTGAACACTATCGATTATAAAAAGAAGGATTGTGGCTTGAAGCGGAATATTTCTGTATAAATGACAATAATAATATGTTACAGATACAGTAATAGGTGGGTTATATAACAGTAAACATTCATTATTTTGGTAAATGACCAGTCACAATCTTAACTGAATCATTCTCATTTTGTCATAAAAACAATCTTTGAATACCGATTTGCAATGGAAAGGAAACATAAGCCATTGGTTAACTGGATAAAGGACATAGTCGTCTGAATATTTGCTTTACATGACATGGTAACATAAGTGAGGGGGTGGGGGGCCGGGTTGTGCAGGGGGCATTGGATTTCATTATGAAAGTGGTAGTTGAGTAAAATTCCTATATAGTCAACGATGAACGAAATCGCTTTTAAATTATCCAAAACATATTTCAACCAATCAAGCTACGCACACCTATTCTTAAAACTGTGGTTCCCGAATGCACTTCCGGTTTCAATCAGGGCATACACAATATACTCTCGCATTATAAGCTGACTGGATAAGATTTGCCGTATTGCAGTTTCATTACCAATTACTTTATTGTCAACGTTCACAGTGTGAAATGGCCGCAAAAATTATGTACTTACATATGTAATACTGCCCTCTTAAAATCACTTTCATAATACAGATAAATTCTAAAGCTTGTAACGGCAATAAATTTAGTCTTTTTAAATCTGGATTGAAGATTGATTGCCATAAATACCTTACACCATAAGTTTGTTATTTTGCTATTTCAGGTATGTATTGTACAGAAGAAGGATACAAAGAAAATGTTTGCTATGAAGTATATGAATAAACAAATGTGTGTGAAAAAAGACGCCGTTACAAACGTGATGAGAGAAGTAGATATCTTAAAAACGTTGGATCACCCTTTCTTAGTTAATTTATGGTTCACTTTCCAAGATGAAGAAGATATGTTTGTAGTAGTAGATCTGTTGTTGGGGGGAGATTTAAGATATCATATGCAGCAAGATGTGGTATATTCTGAAGATCAAGTTAAATTGTATATTTGTGAGATTGGACTTGCCTTGGATTATTTACAAAGAAATCATATTTTACACAGGTTTGTATCTTTTTACATTTTTGATACAGCGAGCAGATACCTTATATCTGAGATCATGGTTACTCTTTTCGAAACACCTGATCGTACTTCTCTTTAGCGGAGTCCACTACTATACAACTTTTACTCTCGATTTTGCCATACTTTGGACGAGATTTTTGATTTACGGAATTGTCCTGCTTGAACGGATTTTTATTTTTATTAGTTGATGTGCGGTGTTTGGTTGTGCACGCCGGTTTGGTGGTTTAGAGAACTATTTCACCGATACAAAGCCACCAATTAGCTTAAGCCTTCATTTTATCAAAGAAATCGTGATTTCTGGTTACATTAAAATAGAAATTAAAAATGCCGTGTAGTAAGCTCCGCGTGCCTTTAGTCTTTGTCCCGAAGCATGATAAAAATGGACAGAGTTCGTGCCCGATAAATTTAGTAACACGCAAACTATTTTTAAAACCTGCCAAATTACAATCGAAAGTTAAAGTTTTGATCTGATTAATATACTGCGGTTATAATAGTTATCATTCAGTTGGATCATTCAGGATGTTATATAATGACAAACGTTCCTACCGTGTTTTTTAAAGAATTATGGCATTGATTTCAGTGTTTGTGGATATTGATATTAGATTAATGATATTCTTTTGGAAAAAATGATAATATCCGCTGTATTGTTATTTTGTGAAAATGAATTACAAAACAAAAGAAAAACAACCGATATATTCAAATATAATTCATTTTTTTTTTGTTAATCGATATCGGCTAGTCAAACCGTTATTAAGTTGAATATTAAATTAACTAAATTATTTCTTTTTATTATGCAGTTTTTTTTTCAATATACTTTTTTTTTTTTTTTTATAAATGCACAGTTTTTATCGGATTTCTTTAGTATGATCTTTTCCTCAAAGTGAAACTTCGAAAGAATCCGTGTGACGTCTATCTTCGGTTTCTATTAAAATTAAACATAATCCTCTTATGGATTACATTTTAGAAACAAAAAGCAATATTTGTTTGATCTAAAAGTGTTATCTAAATATAAAATGATAGATAATGTCAAACGAACAACTCATGGGAAATGGAAGTTTGTCTGAGGGCTGAATTTTTTTTTTTTTTGGTTTTTAAAATGAAATAGAAATTGTTATCTTGGTATAAACAAGTATATGAGAACATGATTCGGTAAATAAATTGATTACAAAAGAAACTCTGGAGAGTTAAGGTCTACCATGAAAATCTAATGGGATTAAGATTGAGACGGCTGGTGAAGAATGCTATACATATGAATCGGTCAGCATATGTTATAGCTTGAATTAACTTTTATTGTTTTGTTGAAAGTCTATGTTGGTTTGTGACAAGGGACATATTTCGAATTCTTGATAACACGTTCTTATATTCCCTTGGCAATTTATTCCAATTCAGAGTTTTTGAATACATATTATTGAATTCACTTTGAAGGAATTTATTCTATTTACGAGTCATTGAAAATACATTTATAAACTCCCTTTGGGTAAAAAAAAAAATTATCATTTTCGGACTCTTTCAAAACTCTTTTGAACAGTCTCTGGGGAAAGTGTTGGTTTTGAATTTCCTTTTGAAACACACATGTAGATAAACATATGAACAGATTATGTTGTTTTCGAGTTCTTGCAAACAGATTGCTAAACTCTCTGTGGAGAAAATTCATCTCATTTGTTGACATCCTGTCAATACTTACTCGGAAATAAAAACTCCATTTCGGTTATTCGCAAAATCTTTTTTTGAATTCTCTTTGGGGAAAGTATATTTTCTGATTCTGAAAAACATGAGTAATTACACCTTCCACATTACAATTATTTCAATTTCAGGTTTTTAAAAGCTAGGGTTCCCACTATGTAGGATATATTATGCCCTTTGTTGTTTTTTGAAAGAATAGCCTTGTTCGATTGTTTTATGATTTCCATTGCTCTGTAATGATTGCTTCGATGAAGAAATATTTCTATGATGAATTAACTTGGTGAAATGGTAAATCTCTAAAGTATAAAAATTGTAATGTGGAACAAATAAGATAAGAGAAATACTTACATGGTGTGATTCGACATTATCTATTCAGTGGGTATGATTGTGGTTCACGGCAACTTGAATATTTGTATTATTCATTTATAGCCATACGATCTCGGGGGAATTATTCAATAGTCAATTATCTTTGGTTGTCTGCGTTTATGAGATAAAAGCTCTCAAAAGATTTTAAATTTTAATAATTTCAATACAACCGCATTTCTTATTTTGGTATGTCATTAGCGATTTTAATTTTGTCACTACATGAAAGCCATATAAAGACTCTGTTGATTGTAACCAAGGGCTCTTTTGAAAAATATTTCATAAATGGGGTGTCTCTAACTTATCGATACTGTTTATCTGTTTTTTTCTACTGTGCTGACGAGAAAATTACTTCAAAAATTTCACTTAAAATTTCACATAAATTACGATTCCTATTCACCAAATGTCTGTCACACGACGCCAGATACTTGATAATCCTTACTAGCCTCTGCATTTTTGATAATTATCAGATGGTATATAGGCATATAAGAGTAAATATATCTATCAGAAGATGATTTAAACAATATTTATTCAAGATTTAAAAACTATAAATACGTGATATAGGCATTCTATGGTATCGGAAACAAGTAACAACAGATTGGAACTATCAGTAAGTTTCGGACTTGTAATGTAACATCTAATTTTGCGTTCGTTTTTCTGTTCGTTGGAAACTATTTTCGCTTCGATAGTAAATGAAACTGATAAAATGTTATCAGCTAATTACTTCGCTGTACAAATAATTTTAGGAATAGCAAGTATCTGATCCCGATGGAATTGTTGTTGTTTTTATGAAGAGATGGTTGATATGTTGTATGTTAATGGATTGACTGGTAAGAACATAAGGGAATATCCCTAGGGCTTGATCTCTAATAGAACATTACTAATTATCTATTAACCTTTATCTTTTATAACATTTTAAAAATCAAAGATAGTTTATAATTTAGTTGGTGTTTTTTTCTAAATTGATTAAATTTTTTTTTATCTTATTCTTCACTGATGGGTTTTTGTATTTTCCTTTTATTTAACATATATATAGGTGTTTTATTATAAGTAAAAGTCTTCTACAGGTAAATAGGAAGAAACGTTTTAAAAAATTGTTCGGCTATACCATCTGATATGATGAACTGACTAGCATGCGCCGATCTTGTTGACATTCAGAATTCGGAATTTACCTCTTAAAATGAACAATCAGTAATATTTCATTGGTCATGAGGAGTAGGAGACTGGACTGTTTTAATGTCGCTGGCACACATACCCAGTTAAAGAAGAGGGGCTGGGTATACTTTGAAGAGATTCCACGTACTTCAATTCCACCAATAATTATCTACTCAACAGATTATTTGAAATGAACGGGATATGAAAAGATGTGTTTGCTCAAGGCTACAGTCATCGAACGCGCCAATTCACCGACTTATACTCAGTGTAATGGTTTTTTAATGAAAGGCCTTGATTGGGGATTTGTCGATAAATAGTCTAGGAAACTGATTAATTTTTCTCAATAGGGGAACTGGTGGTTGTGACCAATCGTACAACTCTTTCATTATTGGGTAAACACAAGCTGGTATTGGGGTGACCTGAAACCCGAAGTTGACATACTGATCTTTGGAGTTTATTACACGGGAACAAATACTCGAATCGAATAAGAAAAAACATGCTGCCCTTTTAAATTCTGAAATAAATATATTGAAACTTTGATCTTTTCGAAATTCGAAATCGTACATCTCAGAGATCATCCTTCGGTTACCAATTTGATAACACAAGAGCCAATGTTAAGGGTATACATTATTTGGTTAACACAACATGGAATTAGGGTCATCTGAAAACTCAAAAGATGACATTTTGAATCTCTGACTGCTTTTTCTAGGAATTACCTTTGGAGTTTGGTCTACAGCCAGTGTGAGAGGATCTCAAACACGAATGACATACTGACTCTTTATACACAACCCTAGACTTCCTCAATAAGATTGAGATTCTGATTGAATATCTATACCAGATCTTTTAAACGGCTGATGCAGGTAAGAAGGGCTGGCATAGAAAAGGCGTCTAGTCGCTCGGATGGGACAATAAACGTAGGCCCCGTGTGCTGCAGGCTGTCCACGTTAAAGATCCATCGACAGTTGGAAATAGAAAAAGTGCAGAAAAGTAGGACGTAAAATTCCATTCATTTCGTTTCAGTTGAATTCAATGCAATGCTCTGGAGAAAGTGAATCATAGTTAGCTGTATATGACAGTATCCCCAAGGGGCTGTGTTAAGACATGAGTGTTTTTAAGTTAACTGTATTGGGATTCCAATACCATTCCAATTCCAATTCCAATACATATGTTAATGACACGTTGCTCTGGCCTACATTATGAATTATATGGGGATCTGGTTTCAATTACCAAAAATCATTTGCAGCAGTCTGTTGAGTCACAGATCTGAAATCCCTATGGAGATGATCGTAGGTTATAGAATATAAGACAGTGAATAAAAGAAATCAAACGAATATTTCACATTCGCTTGAAAACAGCAATGTTTTCTAGATATACGCGCCATTAATACAAATTCGTCCAATAGTCAAAGAAAACACTTTCTTTTTCACAACGCATAACTCTGCTGGTTGCAAATTGATACTTTTTATTGCCATTTCTGAGCATTTACCCTTCAAGTACTGAGATAAATAACATTAGAACTTCGGATGTGACATAAATCTTGGTTTTTACATCCGGTCTGGACTATTCCAGGAAGTAGGATGTAGTAAAGGTTATAAATGTCAATCTATATGTCTATTATGGTTACTGGTGTGGAAATGATGTCAATTATATCCAATCTGTGATCATCTTGATTTTTTTTTTCATATCAATCGAAATGATACAGTAACACAGTTTTGTTTTGAATGTCACTGAATGCGGTGAGGTTAGGATTTGTACACGATGTACATGAAATAAGTTTAGAC